CCTTACCAGCTTGCTTTTCTGTCACTGTGGTTCACAGGTCAGTCGATTGCGGCCTTGATGAGCCGGTGATCCCATAATGCCAGGACTCTGAAAAATGGTTATCGACCGCATGGGACGAGATGGCTCGCAAACCTAAATGAAAAATACAGGCTGGTAACTCGACAAAACGGTCGAGTGAGTGACAATGTCGACCAGATCTTGTGTGTCAAACTGAAAGTGAGTTTCCTCCGCTCGTTGTGAGCAGCCGTTTTGTCTCAAAAGTCCCAGATTTCCAGAACTACATGCTCGCTTGTCTTTTGCTCTCCCTAGAGCCGCTTTGACACTCACGGACGATGGCACCGGTGTCTGCCATCCTGTGCCGTACCTTCGGTAGGTTGTCAGAGACCCTTATCGTGACGGTGAGTGAGTGGGCGTGTATGCGGTCTTTGCCACCAAAAACGGGCCACGCAGTAGATGCGTTGGACCAACACGGGGACTAGATGGGGCTCCGTCAGGCATTATCGGGGGTGTGCACCCATAACAAATGCCAAAACTGATGGTGTGGTAGCACGCCCAGTTGTCGTCTTTGGAAGCGCCTGTTAGGATCCATGTCGCCCCCCGATTTTTGCTGTACCACAAAATCCTGGTCAATGTCCGTTTTGGACCAGGGAGTGTGATGGGACGCATAGGTGCGGGTTTTCTCTGTGACAGTCACCTGCGACCTCTTCCGCCTCTGGTTTTCTTGACTCTTTCCTGACGCAGGGCCCAGGTGGGGGAGAAGGGGAGAGTGCGATAGATACAGCGCAAGTCACCGTCCTTACTCTCGCTCTGTTGTGTAGCACGCGGTGGACATCGTCGGTTACGATGGTCAAACCGTCATGTGTGCTGTCGGCAGGTAGAGCCCGATGGTGAACCATCATGTACTCATAAGTGTGAAGGTCGGGCCGGACAAGCCGGTTCACTGTTGTCAGACGAAGGGGGAGGGCTGTGTAGGACGATGTTCATAAATGGCATTTTATCAGAGCGGCGCTGATGTTGTGTGGCCATGCGTTTGTGTTGAGGCGAATGGTCGTTGTCGGTGGATGTCAATGAGTCGACCGTAGAGACCGCTTGGTTGGATTTATTAGGCCGTCACATGAATTCGATAAGCTCCGAAAAGGGGAGCGGTGGGAGTCGCGATTGGTTATAACTACTGCTGGCGCCCCAATGCGCCATACGAACACGCAGTGAACAATTACGGTTTTTTCGTATGTACGTTGAGTCCGCATTGCATGTGACAAAGAGGTTATTCGGAATCGACGAATTTCGATAAACTGAAACTAAAAGCGAGGTGTTCATTGTAAAGCACTTTGGTTGATCTGTAAACGAATGAATGATGAAGTGACCAACCATTGTTGCGTCCTTTATGAAAGACCCTCAGCACTCACATTCTCTTTATACTGACATTCTGCATAATGCGAAAATCCAAAGCTGACATTTGAGGTTTTACAGGAGTTTACCTGTCAGGGGCCACATTTAAGACTAAGACCGTAGCTGGGTTGCATACCAGGAGGATGGACTCACAACCTCCCCGCAGGTGTCCCAACTCACAGTTGATCAAGTAGATGCGCAGAAGTTACCAGTGGACAAGGGGAGAGTGGAACTGCACCGTACTGCGCTTTGTGTAGAAAGAAATAACCTGAAAAACGTCATTTATTATTTGGTCGAGGACTGAACTAACAAAATCAGTGGAAGCATCGGTCATAGGTGTGAGCTGCGCATCGACCCAGAGGTAAATAGAAGGACAGTTGTTATCGGTGTCAATTTTAGGTCATAGAAAGACATAAGGGTCACGTTGGCTATCATAAATGACTCCGAAAAAAACGTTCTACAAGTGTGTTACACTTGAGCTACTCTGCACTTGAAGTATTAGTTTCGCCGAATAAATCGCAAAAAGGCCGAAAATGTGAACAGTGGTCTTTTCATCAAAGACTAACTGAAGGAAACCACCATTAGAATCACGCCTGGATATGTTCAATGCCTCTTTAATGGACGGCAAATAGACAGTTCATATATGAACATTCAAGTTACCCGAGTCCTAATTTCCCTGTTTAAAACTGCCGAAACACCTAAAACAAACCACTTTTTATAAAAAATAGACATGACACACTATTGATTAGCTCTATGAATCCCGAACTCAAGCTCATGATAGAACAGGCATAAAACAACGAGCAGTCTTTCCGGATGTTCTCATATATGGAAATGTGATGGCTCTGCTAAAAGGTCACGTTATGGAAGTGCGAACCGGGAGGGACAGCATACTTAATTCGGGAGTCTGATAAAATTCACGGAAAGCGAACTTTTGTTTTGTGTGGCCATTTCCTTTCCTCACTAAAGCACGCTCGACTGATGGGATGGACGAGCAGATAAATTGCCTGCAACGTAGCTTATGGAGCCGAAAGTTTCCTTCAAAAATATCAGCATCAGAAGGAACTGAAAACGGAGGGCCTGCTCGGAGTTGATTCTCATCAGAAGGTAACAGTGTCTCCAACTTAATAAAGCGATGACTCCATAGCGCGGCTGAACATACACAGTTACTAACTCTTTCATTTCAGCCAGATCAGTTACATCTGGCTGAAATAAGTGCGCCACTTCAATCCATATTGAAAATTTGTTTATTGTTGCGGCGCGAATAACTTGGACGCACGCAAATACACCTGGCAGCTGAGACGGCCGATCACTTTCGAAAAAAGGCTTTTGGGTCCCCTTGGGGTAGCTGATGGGGTGTTGTTTTGGCAATCAGAGCATCTGATTTCGAGCACCTGTTTTTTAAGATTAGTCCTTTAAAGTGCACATCAGTTAGCGTCAGAAATAAGAATCTTTGCCTTCATTATCATTACAATTTGCAGAGAAACTGATTCATGACATGCCTGTTGGACGCTGTACATACATCACGCCTAAACGGTCCCAGACTGTTCTAAACTTAAACTATGCACAGAAACCTGGTGATGATAATTCCTACGTCGTTTACAATTTTGGCTCTAGTTAAATTGTTTACTTTATCTACTGACCAGAGGCGAACTTACGGTTAAAGTCTTAGGAAGAATCTAGATCTCATATTTTTCAGTGAGTTAGCTTTGCCTTTTCTGACCTTGTTTTAGACTTGTCGAAAATTGTAAATGAGTGTTATATTTAAAAATTGGGTGAATTTCTCAACTATTGTGTAGGGCTTATTGGCTGTAGGCGGCGTGCGGAATGTTCGAAAAATTATCAGCTTCTGAGTGTGAGTGATAATCCCTCTAATGAGCCATCGGAATAGCCGGGAGTTCACGAAGAATAGAACAGACGGAGTACGAGGCAAAGAATATGCGGTTATAGGCCACGAAGAGGGTAATATGCAGTTGTCAGCACTGAGGAGGATTGTTTTGGTTCATAGCCGGCTGAAGGACGGAAGATAGCTAAACATGGGAATACGTTCCCCTCCCCCCTTGCGTTGAATTCCAGGAGGAATGCATATTCCCCTGTCCTAGTCCTCCTAACTCGGACTCGAGCCTTAATGCCCCAAACATTTCCTCCATTTTATCACTGTTCCTGACGCTTAAACTGCACTGTGACCACCTCTGTGCCGGGACTGTCGGGTCCGGGACCTCAGGCGAACACTGGCTATACTGATTTCTTGACGGCCCTCAGGGCGTATTATCTATATCCCTGTGTCTGACAGAGCACATGCCTTCACGCGATTAGTGAGCCCAGTTAAATGCTTCGCTGTCGTCCATCTAGAAACTCTGAAGGGACTCCTTCCTAAATAACAATACGAGTAATCAAAGTGGTCAGGACTGGTATGAAGTTATTGATATAATATGATTATCAAAGTGGTCTATCAACAAGCAGTTTGTTTACAGAGACTGAATAGGATTTCAAAGTGGCATTTATTATCCTGACTGACTGCGGAACAGGATGCGAATTTCACTCTGGGCTTTGGGCTTCAGGTAAGACTCCTCCTGCGCAGATACTTAGCGGTAGCAATAAACACCCGAGAATTAGTTTCGGCGAAGACATGACAAAGTCCATCACCAGCCAGCCTCGACTTCTGAATAAGTACTTTTCATGAAAAACATCTCGATAATTTATTGCTTTTCGCAGGGCGATCGCGCCGAAGAAGCTAGTTTAGAGCCGCAGGGGGACTGAATACCTAATTCCCCCTTCCATATTCGAGCAAGTCGGACGGCGGCCAAGTTCGTAGACCGATGTCGTAACAGGCCGAAAGATGGGCGGGGTCAGAATCACCAACCCAAATTCCAAAATCCCGACATATTGATTTGCCTTGAGGATATCAAGCGTTCGGACTTCACTGCCGGCTGGCGTAATCGTATGTAGGCGATATGGCACACCCAAGCATAATAAAGTCATCCTTTTGAGTGGTCAAATGATGACTGCCCTCAAGCATATGTCGATTTCATGCTCTGCTACAGATGATAAAAATCTGTAATGGACTTTCATCTGCAACGAACTCCAGTTAGTTATCATACGTTGCGGCTTCTCGAAAGGCGTCAGCGTCACATGATGCAACACTTTAGCCTTGTACTTAAATGTTTGCTTCAAAAACACATTGGCACGAAAGACTTTCAAGGTTTATTGGGTTTTTTGTGTACCTGTAAGGGCACTGAAGTACTTGCTCTAATCTACTGTATGATGTTTCACTTTCAACGTAGAACGTCAAACCCGAGTCCTCAATCAACCGGTTACTTGTTATTTTATTAATTAAGTTCATCGAATTCTGCCCTAGCTTTTATTCCCCCTCTGTTTGCTCTCGCCCATCCTTGCCAATCCAACTAATAACGCGCATGACCTCCACACGAGTGAACATTACCGAGGGCTATTTAACCAATGGGAAGCCGCCGGGCCATCCGAGACGGCCCGCTACACGGTCCTAAGCCAATCAGCTTCCGGACGCCAGTCATGCACGCAAAAAAGCAACTACTGATTAAAACTAATAAATTACACAGTCCCCTGTTTTATTATGTGCTATTATCGGCTTAAGGATGAAGCGGTCGGAGGTATTTCATGGCATCTCTGTCGTTATTGCTGGATTTTTGGTTCATTTGTCTTTTGGATGCATGTACACCATCGGTGAGATTGACCTTTCTGGCCTAAGTTATTTAATCACCACCTTCAGGTAACATGGCACCCTACATTGCCTCCTACATCATAAGCAATGTCGACCGCGAGTTCAATAAGGGCAGTGTGGTATGGCTGTCTGCGGCAGCTCTGGCGTCACAAGGCCTTTTCATGCCCCTGGGTGGTCTACTCGCACCCAAACTCGGTGTTCGTTTGGTGGTCATAATTGGATCCGTCATAAACAGGTGAGGCATTCTGAATAAGACGCAAACCAGTGCACAAACTCAGATAAATTTTAAATCGGTAAAACTAATTTATATTGCCCCATAAACAGGGCATGGGAATAAGTACACATAGCCCAAATAATAAAGGTGGACCTGTGCATAATTCCGGAAAGGGCAAAATACTTCCCTGTCATTATCCAGACAACAATCCCAATATAAAACAAAGTCGTTGTTCTAGTTTTGACCTAAACCCTAATCTAGACTTTAACTCTATAGGTTACACTACATCCTATCTTAACCCTAAAATTGGTCCTGGCTTGCGTTACCGTTAACTTTAAATCGAACCTTAAACCTGATTCTAATTTAACTGGGAGATGGCTGAAAGCCACCCCGGCTTCAGGCGGTTCCTGTCCTCAGGTCCTCCCTGGGGGGCCACATAAGTCGGTCCTGCTCTTAAACCAACTGTACTGCTGTTCACTTAAGTAGACAGTAGCCTGTGGATTAAGGCCAAGATTGGTTTTTTAATTTTCATCAAATTTGGAAGACATCAGACCTTAGATCTATTCAGTCGGGAATGGACGCACACCGATCTATCGGCTTGCCCAAAACAAACACGCTTTATATGGGTAACAAGGATCACGGATATGCAACCATCTACCAGGCCGAAGTCAGCCAAGCTATGGTAGCAGAGGGGAGGCAACATAGTCTAATGGGGGTATGGGGAGGGGTAGATTTTCACAGCAATGTCTCGGGCTTGTTTGCCTTCATTCAGCCGGTCATAACCTTGACGACCAGCTGGGAATGGAAAGGCAAATATGCGCATACTCGCCTGGAGCGGGTAGTCACTACTGGGTCTACCTGATGGGTCATAAGCATCTCGTCGAACAAAAGTTTATCAGTGTCCTGCCACCTACCGTTCTCTATACTTGCAAATTGAGCATGTATTTACCTTCATTTATGCGCACTGTCTATTCTGGCCCATTACTAATCCATAAAAATCACACTCGCATTGTGGTAGTGCACATAAAAACGATAATATTTAAATATTCAACTAGCAGTTGATAGACACGCACTTTGGTGCAGTATAGCCTTTCCTTGTCTTTCATTTTCTCTAATAATATGGCGGCTTAGAATTTCACATTTGACCTTCCGTTGAAAATTCGACTTTTACTTCAAAGTAATCAGTACGTCGATTTATACCAGAAATTAGCTGAAAATTGTTCCGGCTTCCAACATCCTCATCTCATGAAAAAAACTCTGCTCTCTATTTTTCATAAATACGTGATATGTAAAACGGTCTCTTGTTCTAGAAAAAAATGTTAAAAAATGACATGTTGTTATACTCGCCAGAAATGTGTATCCCTAGGGTTTTAAACTAGAAATTGAGGAATTAAGGGCAGTGAAAGTGGTCAGATAACTTGGAAGCCTTTTTATGGAGATGCGGGCCTACTCAACAAACGGTTCCATTCATAGGTGAAAAAAACTGAAAAACGTTATTTTTGTTGGCCCATCAATTAGTGTTTCGTGGTGAAGTTGAATGTCTCCTCTACTTTATTTGAGTCAGGTTATCACGCATACCGCGATTGACAGAAGTTAACAATGATTCGGAACCGACTTATTACAGTTACTCTTGCTTTTAGTGGCATCTACATGCTGACATATTTTGCGATTCAAAAGGGATTTGTTTACGTGCTTGTGACGCACATTTGTGCCCTCGGACTTGGACTTGGATTTTCTTATTCCGTGGTCATGCAGACGGCGGCCAGCGTAAGCTAACTTATTTTTATTCTGAATTACTGTCGATTAGGAAGAGAATCTACTAGATCTTGCCTTGGAATAACCCTCATTTACTTCCTAAAACCTGATTACTTCTTAGTGACAGTCGGACTTCTGGAAGATGAATGCAGCCAATGACGTTAGGTAAACATAAAACACGCAACGTGCACCGGAAGCTGAACAATTAAGGAAAATCTGGCGTGCGCTAAAATTTTTTTCAGGGTCACAATTCTTATCGTAGGAATAACAGATAATCGCAGTTTAAAAGAGTCCAATATTCCGATAAATTTCACAGCTGTTTGATACCAAGTTAGGCTGCGCTGAAAAGAAGCAAAAAACGGGATTCCTGCCATGGGGTTGGTTATGACTGTCTTACGACGGCAAATAAGCCAAAATAACCATCCAATTGGCATGGTCTTTGTTGGTACTCCTTTCTCCCCTCAAAGAATGAATGCAGGGTTTACTCCTCCGGGCAGCAAAGCGCCATTGCGTAATCACATACTGCGGCTCGGCCGGTATAGAGCTTTGCACTCAAGATATTTTGTATGCCTTACCGTTGGCGTTTGTAGAAGACTGTATGTGCCCGATTTGCATTGTGAGAACCTTACGCATTTTCTTTTTAAAATCTACAGTGGTTCCCAGACCATAGTGGCCTAATTGTTGGCCTCATTGCTGCCGGATTCGGGCTGGGTGCTTTTGTGTTCACACCAATTCAGCTCAGTTACGTCAATCCAAATAACATCCCCGTGGACAATAAAACCAGGTGAGCGCCAGAGTTGTTTTGAAATTTCATTTCTTTGAACGTTTCTTTGATGGTGACAAGTCGGGTACCTAACATTACCTTAGAAGCCTTTATTTCAGGAACGCGCTGTCAAGAGTGTATTGCTTGTAGGCTTGTCATATTACCTTCGACTGAATTACCTGCGAGAGCATTTGCGTAAATTCCAACGAGCCATTAAAAACCTCACCGTCTTCCACCCAAGCGATGTGAAATGACACTATCAGTAAACTCATCAAGACAATTTTTTTAAAAAAACTATCTTGTCCTAGGAAGTCATGCAGTAGCATGCTGTGTGATTCTCATCCACATCTAAACTTTCCGGTTTGGTCATATTTCTGCCGAGTTTTCGGCATAAGCTTAGTAAAACAAACTCAGCGTTGTGAATGGCTAATAATCTGGCTTTATTTTTACTTCTCCAACAGCGGCCAATAGAAAATTGAGAAAAAGTTGTGGGGGCTATTTTTAAAATGTCGGTTAGGACTAGATTTACTGCCCTCAAGCATACAACCTGCAATAAAAAAGTATTGATTTTCTAAAAAAATTTGTATGCATGTTAAGTTTATAATTCCTCTCGCCGTGCAGATATTAGTGTTAGCAGGACGTGTGCAGCCAGACTTTAGAATACCCGTGTGCATAAAATGCACAATGAGACCGCATGAGTCCGACCCAAGAAACACTTTGCGGTACATAGCAGCTAATTTGAACTTAAGTTATCCACTTCACAGGGAGGCTTCTAATGAACGATAATTGCGGTCGCCTAGAGCCCTTTCAGCGGTGGGCAAACGACTCCCTACGCAGCATAATGACTTGCCTTGATTTCTTATCATTTATCTAAGTGTAGGGTTTACTCCTGTTAACTGTAGCGAATCATCACGTTCAGAAACACAACCTGCGTTTTAATCGTACTTTGGAGTTTGCAAAACCACTCGATATTTTTTCTGCTGCTGATGCGTTTCCGATTTTCTCCAGTGACGTTAGGGTACTTACGGCATCTTATGTATGCCCGCATTGCTTCTAGCCCGATCTTATGAAGTCCATGGTTTTAGAACACTGAAAATTTACAAGATGAAACCAACAAGTGGGAAAATTTTGAGTATTTGCAAGATGAAAAATTGAAATACATTCAGGCTCTTAATTTCAAAAGTGTAAGTCTACATAAAATAGACAACCTAATTAGTTTCTCATTAATCACTCCTAAAAACCTGATTCAGTCTTAATTACAAAAACCGGCGCCAATATTAATTAGGTCTACTAGGATTCAGATTACATTATTTTCAGGGTAAACTTAACGGCAGGAAATTTGAACATGGCCTACGGGGTTGTTCTATAGTGACGATGTCGACAGCTGAGAGTCAAGCCCAATGGTTCCTTCTGGGTGTGACATCTGTGGCATTAACACGCATATAGGATCAAAACTGTCCTCTGTTTTTTGTGAAAACACTACTTACTGCGCTGCGACCAGGCCGTGCGTGGCTCGCGCAGACGGGTTGGTTGACTTCGGCTGCCACCTCCGGCTATCTTGTCTCTCTTGCCAGCGACCCGAGTAAACGAGGGTGAAGAGAGGGCTAAAGATGCCACGTAAGGCGCTGTCCTGCGCCCAACATGCGGTGGGGTACACAGACGACATCGTCGCATGCGCCACCCGAAATGTCATCATGGCGTTATTCGTAGCGTATTTTGCGGACCTTAGCACGACATGTATACTTACGTAGAAATCTGCACCTGGAAGCATACTTAAGGACCATCTTTATAATAGCACAGGATATTTGGCGCAGACTGCAACTTAGCATTTGAGACGATGACCACTCAGTCTGGCGCCCCAGTTTAGTTTGTTATTGTAGCGTATACTGTTTCATGGTTCAACAGCTTTTTCTTCAAATAGTAGAAACTGCGCCACAAAAATTGACCTAGAGACTAATCACCGTATGTCCAAATAATTGCCGGTCTTAATAAATCAAGCACAATAGTCACTAGATAATGTGGACCGACCTTTAAATCGCCATGGATATCTGATGAAAACATATCCCGTCGTACGTAGCAACGTTTCAGTTGACGTGTCTAAACCTCAGATCCACAAACCTTCCTCAGCGTGCTGGAGTAAATGGCAATGTTTTTGTAACCTGACGTTCGGAAATGAAGTCAATGGTATATTAATCCGCGAAAATTTACAATGGGATTCCAAGTTTTCAATCACTTATTCTGATATGTATTCTAATCTGCTATATCCAACCAAATCAGTTATATTGCGAGACAGCATTAACGAGTAGATAAACGTCTGTTGCTGAGATTTTCAGCTTATCAGATTCATAAGGCACTTTCAGAAATATATTAGGATTTCCCTTGAACTAAATGGAGTGACCTAGTAAATTAAATACGGTACGGGGGGGGGGGGCTATCGAGCGTCAGCAGTAACGACGACCGACGTGGACAAAGACAGCAAACGGGGAACTATAGCACAGGACTAGGAGGTGTAGAAACTCATGAAACATTGATCGATATTTCTGTCTTTAAATAAAAATGCATATCAAAGTCCGAATGCGAATATATCTGACATGAAACATCAAACAAGGTCATTCACATTCCGTTGAATCTTTACTTCTGGTAGATAAACTCTACAGTCATCCGTGTAAATCACACTTGGAAGAAAAAACGGCCTAATTAGCGCATATTTTAAAATCCATTTTGGATGTCTGTTCATATTACACCAAATTATCAGGTAAATAGCTAAAGAATTTTTATATGCATACCAGTCACTCAACTCTTCTTAAATTTGCATATTTGCAGGCAAGTTGTAGATGAGTTTAACTTAGTTTGAAAATGTCGCATCCTTTGAAGACTAGGCTGTCTTCGCACTTAGTCTTGAGGTTTAGAGATCACGAACTGCGCATGTTTACGTCATTAAAATAATGGAGCTCTCCATTTTATTAAACAAAAGAATCCTCTCAATCAGAAACTATTTCAACGAACACGGAACATGTTCTGTAATTTCGAAGCAATTTCACGAAATCTGCATATACTAGACTACTCTATAATCATGCAAGCGCCCGATGACTCTTCACAGATTTCGACATTTCAAATATAAAATGCCTCCCCTTTTAGACATAAACACTAGGATAGCGGAATTCACCAGACAACTATCATAAAAAATTAGATCTGGGCACAAATTTAATGAAACATTACTCTACATGTATGAACCCAGAAAATTCACGAAAATCATACCTACAACTTACGTGGAAATTATATTGGGGGTGATATCCTGGGAAAGGCCAGCTTAGTTTTGTTTTCCTTTTTGACCCTAACATGAGCAATCTTCTCACATCAAATAAACACCTGAAAAAACACCAGTAAACAATGACTTAAGCGGCTGAAGGCTCGCGCGATTGCCACTTCTCACGAGAATTTCTGCCTTTTCGAATTTGAATGTGTGGCTGGATGTCGTCGAACGAGTCGCAATTTGAGAGCTGGCGTCATTTCTCCGCACTGCTGACATGGATTCGGTTATCCGCGTCCGGGGCAGTCTTCCAGTTTCGCCGACGTGTTTACTTTTCTCAAAAATGCACTCAAATTCACAAATAACTCCAGACGTCTCTCGATATGACAGTGGGTCTTTTAGTCTCATTATATGGCGCTCGATGGTTTCCTCCAGTCTCTGTGCCCTTCCAACTCCAAGTGGTACGAGAAAGCGGCTGGCGCCCTCTGGGGTCGGTGCGACTTGGCCTCTTGTTTCGTTTGCTGACCATAAAGCAATTATCGCATCTAGGACAAGCCTCCTCGATAAAGGAGGAGCCGATAATTTTCATAGGTGTGCGGAGCATAGATGATGCATCCTATAAATACTGTAGTCCCTTGTGCACGGATCACGCGTGTCTGATTCAAAACTCGTGATGACATTGCAGCAATTAACGACGTGAATGTCTGCTATCAAACATTCATTACAACAAGTGCACCAGCCCATGATGAAGGAGGCGGAGGGGGGGGGAGCTGTGAATTTTCACAGGTATGAGGTAGCATGTCGACTGCATCCTCTAAATACTGCAGCCCCTTGTGCATGAACCGCCCGTATTGCTATTGTCTCTGATGATGGGTCCGAGCATGAACCTGGAACCTCCAGAGAGTAAAGTTCTTGTTCCAGTGATCGTGTCTCTTTCTTTTCGACTGCTTCCTGGGACTCGTCTCTTTGATTCTACCGACAAGACAAACATTCCTATACTTCTTCTCACGTTCTTCCCAGGAGCAGCATTTCCTTTTATATCATCGGTCTTTATGTCAGCTGCAAACTGGAGGTCGCAACAAGTAGTTTGCCAACAAATATATCTGATCCCCTTCCAGAATAGCTGAGGATGGTTGTTTGGCGTGAAACGGGGGAAGCGACTGGCTGAGATCACTTAACAGAGCCTGGCAGTTCCTCTGTAAATCTGTGTTATCAGCACTTAGTTGTGCTGCAGCGTTTCCGGCTAGAAAATTGTCACAACTGAACTGTAGACTTCCGAATTTATTGCACTCATTTGTTCCTCCAACTATCTTCTTAACAAATCACAATCTGAACCTACTTTAGGCAGGGCGTGTGTTCTTTGATCGCAATTATAACATGTTTTCCGGCTGGCGACGTAAAACAGTCAACTTCCCTTTCGATGTTCTTACCAGAAACTCCGCTTCCGATCTACTAAGTCCCCTTCAGTCAACTGAGCGTGCCCTTTTTACTCTTTGTTTTAGGCTGTGAGACTGTCCTGTTAAGATTTCAAGCACGTCTCTGTGAAATCTATTTCTCCCATCCAGACCGTATAAACTGTTCTAATAATTATGAATTATGGACCCTGTCATATGACTGCCGCTGGTCTAGTATAGTGAAATGAAAATACTTGGGTGAATCCGGCAAACCTAGCAACATGATATGTAAAGGCCACTTGGCTGGTCACTGCGTCACCCTCGCCGTCGTGGTGCTAATTCCACGTGTTTTTACTCGCAGCTATCGCCCACCTCATAATCCTACCGGTCACGATGAAATTCGGACCTGGTATGGTGGTGGCTTGGTTGGATATCCTCGGCTAAACCTGTCAGTTCTGTCTTGCTCTCGGAGCCAGCTAAGTGTGTGGGTGTGATAGATGTTGCAGAAGTCTGCCTCACTGAAACCGAATTCGTCGCCCACTCCGTGAGACACACAATGTTGCCATCGTTCGCGATGGTTTATCTGTCCTCCCGACAAACGACAGCGAGTGGAGAGTGAACAAAAACGATGGACCATGTTCTGAATGAACCTTGTCTCAATGAAGGTTCAACAGAAAATAGGACGGAAGGTAATATGTGAAGTATTTAAGGCATGGAAATCCAGGGAAAGGAATTTTGTGGATGAAGGCGAAAGTTTGAGGTCCAGGTGCATGTATAAGTGAGGGAGAAGGGTGGTCGTGCACCGGAACATTCTGTTTATTGTTCTAACCTTTCGAACTTGTGCGGGAGTCCATCGCCAGAGATAGTAGCAACAATAGAACAAGCGGAAATTATAGTGCATACTAGCCAATCATCGATAGATGGCGCAAGACGGAAGGTGACTGTGCAGGGCTCTGCAAAACGCCACCAGATCGATAAACCTATTGACTGAGCCCTCATTTGAGACCCAGGCTTCAAGCAATTCCCAGCCTGTTTTGTTCCCGACGTGGGCGATTACCTTATTGGATGTGAAGTTAAACTTATGACCCACTTCGTATGTGTGGGTGGCCAGTTGTGATAATTCGTCGCCTCCTCGCTCAGCCAGCTCAAGTTCGTGTATGAGCGATCAGAGGAGGCGTTCAGTCTGACCTGTGTAGCTAAAGGGACAGTTTTGGCACGGGATGCGATGCGCTACTCCAGATTGCTGATTATGCTTTAACCGCTCTTTAACTTTCCTGACCTTGCTGGGCATGGTGGCTTTGTGGCAATGTGCAATCCCAACAACCTCCCCCGCAGTAATGCGTTCGCTCACTTCTGAAACGTCCTTAATGAATGGCGGAGAATGTCGTATTATCGGCGGTGTTGATGTTTGAGTCCTCTGGGGGCGACCGCGTAGGCAGTGACTTATGAATGCCTTGGGGTAGACATTTTGCACAAAATGGTCGCGGAGATAACGGGCCTCTGCCCTCCGGTTTGCCGCCATGAATCTGCATCCGTTTTTAGAGCGTCTTCACACAACTTCGTTTGTGGGTCACAGGGTGGTTGTGGTGAAAGCTGAGAATCTGTGTGGCGTTCGTTGCCTTCTTATAAACCGTCGTTTTAAGTTGACCATTAAGGTTTCGTCTGACGAGCACATCAAAGAAGGACAAATGCTGATTCTGTTCTTCTTCCCCGGGAATTTTATATCATGGAAGACTGCGCTGAACAGGTTGTGCATATGTTGTGTCATGTTCTTCTTTACGATAACAAACGTGTCGTCCACGTAACGTCTTTGTTTATGTTGTTGCCCGGGGACAGAAAATTGCCACAATTTCCACTATTGACTCAATCCAAACTGTTCTGAAATTTGCAATGTACTCGAGACGGTATAAATAATGGTCCTAAGTGAATAAAACATCAGTCTATTTTTTGGCTGAAAGCCCTATCATGACTTTGCTGTATATCAGGCGATACTACGCCCAAGGCAAACACAGTCTTCTCCTCAATATCTCTCGGGGATAAAGTGTTAAAGCATGTGCGTTCTTAGTTTATCCTTAAAAAACATTAGTGTTTGAAGCTTCAGCGGATCACCGCTGGTTGCCAGAGGCGTCATGATCTTTGGAAAAAAATTATGGCCTGATACCAAAAGCTTATAGCTGACGCAAAGGACTATGACTGCTTTGGGCGGCTTAGTACAGAGGTGACTCCCTCTGGTTTCGGAGTTGAATGCCTCTCATCAACATAACGGTCTGAGGTCGCTAGACTGCGCCGGAGGACATGTGGGCCCCTGTTGGACGGCGAGCAATACTGCTGCAGCTGATGACCTTCTTATATGTAACTAATTCTCCACATCTTGTACTCGATCCCACATTGAATCAAAAGGTGCATAGCCAGTCATTGCCTACTCAGTGAACTTGGGAGACTGCTTATTTCACAACAGGCCTTCATTCAGGGTGGGTTCACTTTCGTTCACTTGGGGACGCATCGGGTGGCTCGCAACCCAACAATTCTATCCTGCATTCCGAAGTTCCTGTCATTGCAGTATAAATAATACTGAAGTACAGACGAGTAACGTTTCTACTTCCACAGTAATCGACAGTTATGCCCACTATAGACTATCCTTTGCTCTGTTCCTCATGCACGCTCAAAGTGCTCACAAAATTCGACCATAATTTTGGCGTCTAGAAGTATTAAATCTGCGAACGAATAATTCATTTCCTACCAGAACCCATGAACTATTTGAGAGATGGCGCCAAAACAGCCTTTTGAGCAAAATATTGACGCTACCAAGGTGAAAACAAGTTTTTTTCTCGAGGGAGTGAAAAGGTGCGAGCAAGGGCGAGGGGCTGTTAACACAAACGGTCGCAAACATGACGTGATGTTCGACATCCGATTGCCGCGATATAAATGGCCGAGTAGAAAATTAGTGTGTTCCGCTTTGTACAGACGTTCGGGCCTGGAGCTGTAGCGCCCGTTTCATTTCCACCCCCACCACCACCATCTTGGAAGGGCGAACGCCATTTTTATCTGACTTTCGACAGTTGGGGTGTCTCCTCTCCTTATCAGCTGATTACGACCGGTCATGTGACGCGGTCGGCAGGGTGTGAACCCACAAGTCAAAGCCAAGTCCACTCCACCCAGGTGACGGAAGTCAACCGGGATTTGTAGCCGTACGTTCGCCCTCAGATTTCCCTTCCTTGAGCAAAAAGGGATCGGATTAAGCATTAAGGGCTTATCTGAAGTCGTCTGCTGGCCAGTGTTGGAGGACGAACAGGCCAAGACAGGCCTGGAAGACTTGGTACTCAAACTAGTGTTTTGTTGTAGAATAGTTTAGTTAAATACTGAAGTGATTGAGCTGTTGGTTCAGATTCTGTCGCCTGAGACCAGTAAGGTACTAGCATCGTGTGGTCCAATTCGGCGGCCGCGGTCTGCGGAGCTTTAAGAAAAAACGGACTCGTTGGAACAGAACGACAGGTTGCACTGCCACAAGACGCTGACATCTCGGCGCCCAGGTGACGAAGGATTAAAATGGAACCTTTGGAGTCCTTGCCTTGCATGGCGAGAAAATGTGAAAAACTCTTGACAACACATATCATAAAGTCTGTGGGTAGTTATGAATCTACTGATGCGTTGAACACAACGCATTTGCATCAAAAAACGGGCAGTATGTTGGTAAAACACCTCTGAAATGTTTACTATTGTGTATGCCTGTGGGCTGGTGAGCTGGGCTTTCATGCATATATCCATGACTTAGAGCTATTCATCGTAGGTGTTCCTATTAGGAGACTACTACAGGGAGGTGAAAGTATCAAATTCCAACAGTTGTATTAAAATTGAAATTGTTGTTAAAAAGACTTAATGTCGCAAAAACTTCACCGTGCTGCTAAAAGAATACGGACAAAGCTACAGTGGATCAGAACGGTCATTTTTGACCTATTGGAAGCCATCATCTAGTCATACCCAATCCCAGGTGCTGATCACCGGAGATTCGAACCTGGCACTTTTGGTCACTGTGCGTAACGCTCTACCATTGAGCCACGGGTCCGTTGTCCCGTCGGCTGCGGTCGGGAATATTAACTAATGTAGCGCAACGTTCGTCTGGGTTTGGGGATGAGTGGTTGATGACAGATAATAAGTCAGAAATGGTATTTTGGCCTACCCCGTTTCTGTCGATATTCCATTATCAGCACAAGCTGCTAATATCCATGCGACCGTCTGCGAGATCTGTAGACTGAGCCTCAAACCACAGCGGAATGTGTATGTTCCGCCAACTGTTCGTTGAGAAAAATGAGTTTTCTGTGTGTTCTTCTCATAGGAAACTCTTAATATCTTCAGAAACCCTGGCCGTTGGCTTTCAGCCCAGGTATAATGCAATTTATGAGGCGTGAAATATGATATATCCAGATTCTATGCCAGATCCTATGCCAGACGGCAGGAATCTTTTTTGCAAGGCCTGTCTACCTTTAATCCCATGCATTTCAGCCGTCAGTTGCATCAAAGCTGTGAGGGCCCTATTGCGTCACAGTAAAGTGGAGGCACATGGAACAAAATTATTCTAACATTTTTTGATGTTCGGCCGTAAGCGCAACTACGCTTTGTGGGGCGTGATTACTGAAATGTTATGAATTTTTTCCACTGATTTTTGATGTCGACTTACCACATGAAACTCTCCGCACCCTTCCCTCCCCGCCTCGCCTGTGTTTTTAAAACCAAACTCTATCAATTTTCTAATCACTGACACGTTTGACTGTATCCAATTCCCATATAATTTTACTAGCCTAAGAAGACTTTACCAGAAGCAGACGTGTGCTGCCCAACTATTCTTCTGAATTCTGCCATGAGAATCTTTGCAATTCTGAAAAAAGTGACCTTGTCGCTCAGTTCTCAACGCTACTAAGGATACGTCATATAGTACTCATGGGATTGTGTAATGGATGAGGTTGTGTCCATCATAAATAACATTGATAAACATGCAGATGCAATAATGCATGGGAAAACATTTCATAGTCTTAAAAATCTCCCAATTAAAAAAATTTAAAATAAAAAAGCATTCTTTTTGAACATGGAATTTCAAGCTGTATTTTTTTACTAATGCGGCACAATAAAGAATAATTTTGTGCCTGTTTTCTATAAAAAGCGGAGCGTATAAGGGCATCGAAAATCAATTGAAGAAACTCACTTTACTTAAGCAGTCATCCTCACAAAAGTGCAGTTATTGCCTGCTGCCCAAAAGAAGCACATTCAAAGACTAACATCCTGTGATCCTTCCTATTCGATAACCAAACTTATAACCCTACTTAAGTAGTCTTTCCACGTCGAAAGCACATATCTACATTTCGGTTAAAACCTCATGAGATAGCACATTTAGCGTAATTGCTCACCCGTAAACGCCATACATGTCTGTGATTAGCATAAACGATATCGTTTGTACTGCTGACACGTCAGGGTCTAGAAGATTAAATTCAAGTTGAACGTTTGAATGGGTGGAGTGGTGGAGGACGCGAATTCGCCCTGGCTCACTACTGTATCACGCGTAAGCAACAGGGCTGAATTTAAGACAAGCTACATCAAACTCTGTCGGAGTTTAATTATAAACGCTTTTACTGTAACTTCCCGTCACTCGATTTAAAGGGCGGACAAGAACTCCATCGATTTTGATGTTTTGTTTGATGAGGCGCGTTCATAGCCTCAACTTCAATTTCAGTAAGTCCTCACCAAGTAACTGCCAGAATGTTGCCAAATAAATAATCGTTAAATTTACTGGGCTACATTCTTCAACTTCGTTTAATTACCTGTCGTCCGGTTATTTTATGCGTTTTATAGTATTAAAAGGGTATAGATTATTGACGCCAGACTCTTCGCACACAGCGACACCCATAGGAGTCCCAGCGACTATCCGTGGGATTTATCTGAACTGTCGGATGAACTGTGCACAAACCTGTGTGTTACATCATTTTCTTACAGTATTGTTGGAATAGAGGCCTTTAGGATCGGGAAGAAAAGATTATTCAGAGTGTCAAATACTTCCTAGGCCAGGTTTAGTTTAAAAGCATTTCGTGTTCAGGATGCACCAGTTTTTACTGACAGTGCTTAATAATTTCACCAGCTTCTGTTTTCAAACTGCAACAATTCGTGGATCCAGCGGTGATGATAACGCGAAGCAACGGAATCTGAAACCTCAAAAAATACTTATCTTGGTATATAAATGCATTCAAATTTAATAGCTGCTCTCAGTATGGCAAGTTCGGCTGGTTTTATGGTGTAGGCATTATCCTTTAAGCGTTTCCGTAAAAGTATCAAGTAAGGTGAAGCCTGGTGAACGAGGTGGGTATTTAACAAAACGCCCACGTTCAGTCCACTTCTTCGGCAAGATTTCATCCAGGTAGAATTTGACATCTCGATTGTTGTGTGTGGGTGCGTATCATTGTCAAAGCTTATTTTGATTGCAATTACTGATTCCAACTGGTTAAAATCTGGAAAGAAAGAAACGTTCATTCAACTGCCACGTGCTAAAATGTGTATACATTTTCAGGACACCATGTAAATCAGCCTGTATTTCCTGCTGATTTGCCGCAGTATGTCTAAGGAAGGACAAGTAAAACACCCTTGGTAGGCGACTACTCGTGAACAGAGGGAAGCAAAAAAATTTATATCCGCCAACGTTTCACGTTTTCAGTGTCTGGCTTGTTTTAGAAATGTTTTCTGATAACCGACAGATCAATAGTGAAATTTTAGCAAAATAATTCTATTAAGGTAATTTATTCCTAGGAGTAATGCCTAGAGTTGACGTCATTACGTCCGCAAACAGGTGATGGATGGCTAAAATTACTATGACCTTCTGGCTAGTTCATGGCGTTACAATTCGCGAAGTACATAGTATAAAAGTTGCTTGTAACTCGAAACCCAGGGAATGCGCTGCCTTTTCTAGCAATTCTGTATTTAGGTTGATTCCCTTTAAATGGGTAATAAAACGTATTTCGCATATAATTCATATAAATGAAAATGTTTACTTGTATCCTCTTCTGGCAGATTGTTTGTGGATAAGCAAGTTCTCGGACGAATTCCAATGTCCTACATCGTAATTGGCGGCGTAATGTGCGGTCTTCAGCTCATCGGGTGCCTTATTCTCCGAAAAAAGCCGTCAAAAAAGGTATGCAAGCTGTGCACTTCTCCAAATCCAAGTACAGTAGGTGGACCAAATCGTAAAATGTCAACGGGAATTCCGAAATGCGTTTTCGTTTCGAAAAGAATAATTAAGCACGTTGCGACATAATTCTTTAATAACTCAGGTACCGCAGGATGTCGGCATTCAAAAAAACTTCTTCTTAGCTGCACGCTAAACTATAGTATGTAAACAACGAATACTTATGTAACACGCATTTTCCTCACTGATTTTCGATGCCATTAAATTTCAACTATATTTCATGGGAAACATGCATAAAAATATTCATTTTTTGGCTCATTCGGTAGAAAATTACGTCTCCTTCCAATTTAATGCTCGAATGAATGGTAAAATTAGGTTTTAAAAAGTTTATAACTGTGAGATTTTTTAGTACCGTGAAATGGCCGTTAATAAAACGTCATGACTCTGCAGTTACCAATGGGGCTTGTAAAGTTAACAATAAGGTCCAAACCCACTGCTTAATTTCATGACCCCCTTATAGTCTTTGAATACCGTAGAGGAATGTATGGTTTTCTGTACGCGGAAAATATACGACTTGTAGTTTGGAAACCCTGGATGCAAGTTTAACGGCAGGTCGAGGTCAGAAGTATTCGGTACTTGAAAAAGATTTTTCAAAACAGAATTATATCCTTGCTTTGAGTATAAAATCGGAAGACGTCGTCATTTTCTACGAATGAGTACAAGAATGAATATTTTATTCATATTTTTCATGAAATATAATTGGACTTTTAAGGGCATCGAAAATCAATGAGGGATATCCGTGCTACTTAAGTAGTCCTTTTTTCAGAGTGTGGTTTTGCATGCGGCCGAAAAGGAATTCATTTGAAAGCCGGCATCCTGCGGTAACTGAATTATTTTTATATAATTGCGCTGCAGGATGATTGCTTTCACAACCCCACTTAAGTAATCTTTTTAAAACGAAAACGCATTTCAGAATATCGGTAGATATTTCACGAATTAGCCCACCAAAACGATCTGTTTTTGGTACCTATCCTGCTCTTCGAGTGGGATTTAACAAACGGGATGCATCAGAATTAAATGCGAGTTGGCTCATTTGAGGGAAAATCCAAGCAAATGCAAAGAAAGTGTGATGACATCGAAGACAAGAAGACAATTAACTCCAAATAGGTTATGGTCAGGCTTGGCCTAACCACATGTCAAACATGAGAGCATTCTCCCTTTGCAATGCACACATGAGAATTGCTTGTCACCGATGTATTAATTATTAAATGGAGATTTTCCCGTTGCATGAAAGCATTGACCAGAATTATTTAAAATACGCGACCTCACATTGGCCAGCCGCCTCCGGAGTGATAAGTATTTGATGACGCAACATATTTGAAACTTCTGACATCGCTTTTATTGAAATGTTCCAAAATGCACTTATTGAAACATTTCGTTTATTCTACAGGAGATGGATAAGGAAAGAACGTCGATGACGCTTGGCTTAGAAAAGAAATCGAGGTAAGTTCGACCGCTTACAGCAATCTTTGTGTCCCAGATTAATGCATGGAGTCTAGACTCAGTTTGACATTTGCAAGCCAACACAAATGTCTTTTCGTTAGCTATCACTCCAAAGACACCCAGATCCTGATCGGGAAAATGCAGACATCGCTTTGCTATCAGAAACTCGAGTTCAACTTCGGGTTTTGGATGAATTTTTTCACAAGATATTTCGAAATAGCTGAATACTCCGAATAGAACCAGCTGAAGTTAATGAGATAAGAGTAGTTTGCTAACGACTGCAAAAGAAGCATAGCCTTATCATGTCACACATCGGTCCTCTGAGGACGGAGAGTCAGACTGTAATGGCTATTTCTTAATGCATATCTTCATTGGGGTGGGACTCAGTGACACATAGACGTCTTATATCCACTCGACAAATATCCTGGAATCAATAGTTGATGCATAGCAGGCCTCAATGAACGCTTTGCTATTATGGTTGCAAAACAGTGGACGAATCGCAAACAACATTTCTTTGCTGAGTATGAATGACATCCAATTTTTCCGCATGTCAGCCTAGCACTGGGAAAATGTTAATGCGGAGTCAATGGTTTATCTGCTCAACTGCTGTCCCACTAAAAACGACCTTACGCAAAGGTAGAAACGAAACTAACTGTAAACCGGACGGAAAGCTTGTAGACGTACAAGCACCCTCACCAGTGAAGCGGGGCGATTATTTGTCTTTCGGAAGCAGACAAAGTCCCGATCACAGGGTCGAATATTTTTTGCCGCCTTCTTATTTCTCATACACAAGGCCGTCATTAAGAATAAAGTAATATGACCCCAAATAGCTGCATTTTCGGACTCCAGTCGCCTATCAGCAGTCGGAAATGGTCATTTGCACGTAAGCTCGTAGGGTTTACAATCCTATCGAGAGATAAATACAGTGGGTTTTTGAGTTCCAGGTCAGATTTCTGGCCCATATTAGATAATGATCTGCCTACGAAGTTGGATTTCGAAGGCCACTTCGTATTATTAGCATATTTTCACATTATCTATGCGTGCTGCTTTGTCCGTTGATCATTTTCATTTATGTAACTGCCAAGATAGTTAGGGCGTGGAAACTAAGATTAAGGTTTTGGCCGGATTGGTTGGATTAACTCAATAACTGGTACTGCCGACAACATGCAGTGACGACGTTTGCTCCTGTGTCAATATGTTCTGTCACCCTAGATAGGCGCTTTATACATGTTGAGTCTCATTAGTACAGACAGCGACACTTTCCGCGTCAAAGACTACGCACAACCTCATCTCTAACTAGCTTTGATTTGATACGCAACTTAAGTTAGAGGGATTTAGGTCAAGTCGGTTTTGCGCGCTACAAGAAATATGACATTCCTTAAAATACCACTCCACTATATTTTTTTGGAAAGTCAAAAAACTGACAGGATAATTCGGTGTTCACCTCCCACTGATGGTCAGTCTGCATAGGCTCCTTCACAAGGTGGCCTTTATGTTGACTGTCAAGAATGAGGGAGCTGAGTTCTTTTTAGGGTTTGGTTAGTACACGCGAAAGGACAGGCACGTCGGCCATCACACCCACGGCTGTGATGGGTGCAGGAAGGGAGTGAGGTAGGTGAGGCGAAAATTCCGTCCGTTGTGAGCAGAAGCGCGTGTTTTGGGGTATACGTTTTACTCACTGACACTGATAGACGAACTGTCTTCATTTATGGATACTCACCGCTTGTTGAGGCAATTAAAGTAATGGTTATTTAGAAACTTCTTCCTAATTACGACTTCACCACCGCCAATTAACAAATAGAGCTACCTCTATCCAATCCGCCCTTCAAATGGGATAAAATTCGTCATCTGCACGACAGTACTAGAACTCACATCGTAAAATAAGTACGAAAAAATTCCTTTTGACATTCACATCTGTGCTTCTGCCATATTTCCGGGACTATGTTCATGCGAACAACCACCTGTTGTACTTTTGGTTCTCTCTCTTTTTCGCAAAAACTCTCCAGTAACGATTTTGTGACCAAGTGTCTCTGGATTCCCGCGTGCTCCGCGTTCTTTTCCCACCAGAGCTGAACGGGATATGAAGGACTTTTAAAAAGCGTGTTTCGCGCGTTGCGGAATATTTTAGTTAAGATTGCTATTAGAGTTCCCCACAGATTCTTGTCCTCGTAGCAGAATATAAACTATCATGTAGCGTTAAAATGCGGCATAAGGGTATGATCATCAGCGGGTTCTCTTGAAGACGCTGAAATTTTAGCTTATTAAAGCAACTCTTGGTACTTTGGCAGTGAGCAGACACAGAGCGTTCATTCGGGTGATTCCTCTGTATTGAAGCATTTAATCCAGGCCCATTTGGCGTTGCCAATGCTTAGTTTTAACGTTTGAGTCCATGCAAACCGATGCAGCCTCAGAATGTGGCAGGCTTTTGCTGGTTGTAGCCTGGACAGGTACTGAAGTCCAGTAGCCACCCGGTTAAACGCCCAAAACTCAAAGTAGTATAGTAACATTCGTGTTAAATCCCAACTCTTAACCTTTCAGTGTTGAAGTCGAAAAGACCAGCGACTTGCTGTATGACAGCGAAAACCCAGACGCTTATGCGAATATCGGGTGAGCCACACTCTTCATCTAAACTCCGTCAGATCTGCTGCTTAACTGTAAGCCTAGCTGTTGACTTTCTCAAATTGTAGGGTTATGGAACTCGGGCCCAAGAAGGTCCTACGAAGTCGATACTTCTACCTCCTCTGGCTACTCATGCTTTGCAACATCATTCCAATCACACTGCTCACTTCGGCCTACAAGGTTTGTCTTCGCTCCTGGGCAACAGGGACCCCCTTTTTGCCAACCTATTGAACTGATGAATGTTTAGAGCCTCCGCTTGACTGATTTCTAAATTTGGCAGATCCTCTTTCGTTGGTGGTTTCCACCTAAGCCGCACATGCATGTCGTTGCTCATCGGTGGAGTTTCAGATCAAAAAGTGCCATAACCCATAGAACTGTTTGCCCGGCCTCCTAGGTCTAGAATTTTACTAACTTCTGCATGCTAGTCACGACCCTGGTAAAACCGATACAAGACCTTACATCTATATCACACATCAATTCCGACTTTTCGACTATCCGGGATGGTCATTGTAATGACTGGTGAAGAATTAGGTCCACTGAGATACGTGAGATTGTTCCTGTTATTTCTATCGGTAGAGACCCTAGGGATTATGCTTGCTTGGAAGCACAGATATCCCTAAACAAATTAAAAAATAGAGCCTTAAGTGTCCATTGTTCAATCATAACTGCAAGACATAGTATGGGCGAGGTCGTCCTGTCTTGTCCGCACGACAGACGGCAAAAACCAATCAAGAAGTTGTATCGATAAATGAAGGAAGACCATAACCAGGATCTGCCGGTGATTGTCAATCACTAGTGCCGTCGGTCACTTCCGCCAGATGAGCAGATGAAGAAGGAGACACAATCGCTGGAAGAAGAGCTTTATTTGCCTGACGTTTCGGATTTTCGCTCGAAACCGTCATCAGAGTCCATGTTGCAAATGGTTACAGTTGGACCACCTCAAATGAACAGTTGCATCACTGCTCTACGAGGTAAGTGCAAAAGTGATTTGCGGGCAAATGTGTTTGCGATGGAACCGAATGCGCGACACCTGTTCCACTCTTCCTCTCTTCTAACACCTGTTCATTTCCGATGGTAAGACAGAGTCAGAGTCGCCGGGTGTCGGCTTGGGTTAAAAAAAGCAATGCAACCTGTCTCTGCGTGCCACACGCCAGCTTGCTCCTGTCTCACATATAGCAGGCTTCCTTTGGCGGAGTTCTCAGGTCCCCTAACCTAATCGGCAAGTGCACTCCCACTGTGCTGTCGGATCAGCCACGTCTTCCTGGCTGATCTCTAATTGTCATCGTCGAGTTTTTTGAAAGGTGATGGACGTAAGAGGAGAGAGACTGGCGGGTGCTGCGCAAACCAGTCACACTATTTAACTTTTGTCAACATAACTGCGCTTACATTACACGCACTCGTGGTCAGCGTCACTCAAGGCGGACGTAGATCATGCTAACACTCGCGATGAGTGACAGGTGTACTATTCGGACAATGCCACAAAACAATGCAAGAGTAGTAACTGTAAAACACCCGTCCCATGCCTGCTCACCCAGCTCCCGGGGCCGTGTGTGAATTTGGGAACACACTGACCAATCCGTTGACCCGCTCGGGGTCCCCAGATGAGCAGAGACAGCGCACTATGCAGGATTATGATAGCACTCGGACGTACCCATCACCAATCATATTTGTTTTGTTTTCGTGGCGACCGGCGATTGCGCATTTCACGTGAGAGGATTCATACCTGAAATAAAGCGATTTCAAAGAGCGCTTCTTCCGCTTCGCTTACGCTACCTATATGTCGTATTTCCCCCAAATCCGTATTGTGAAAGACATTTTTTTTAAATTTAGAGCTGCGTTTGAACATTAACAAAAACGCGTACAATTTGGCCCTTAATAAGACGTAAACCGTTGTAAAACAGTCATTGACTGACCCTTTTTAGCGAAACAAAAGACCATCAAGCAAAGTCCTTCAAAACCGCTAAACACTGAAACGTGCGCTACACACATCAAGTCTTGGTCACCTGACAAACAATTTGCATCGACGGATCGCTCTATTAATCTTTTATCGGGACCAAAGCCTGCGTCCTTTATGCAATACGAGCCGGTGACAATTAGGAAAATGGTCCTGTGGTTAACACAATAACTTTTGGATGAAATTATCTTTTTATCCATTTTCAGCTGGTTGGCCAAGAACACATCACTGATGACGTTTTTCTCTCAACTATCGCGACGTTGAGTTCATTGTTCAATAGTCTAGGTCGAATATTTTGGGGCTTCCTGGTGGATCGGTTGTCTTTCAAGGTGAGTTCTTTCGCGTTTCATTCGGTCCGTTTTTAGGCCGAGCGCAATTTACCGTCCTTGCTTTCCAGTCCGCAGCGTTTGTTTCATGTTCCCCGAAATGGTGTCAACGCCTGCTTGACTCTACTATAACTCTAACTCTTTCTATTCAGATCCCCATATGCACTATGCTATTTTTATGGGCGGCAACGCTTTTCGCCTTTCCGAATGTCTTCTATTGGAAGGCGGCAACAATATATCTCTACGGCATCGCAGTCTGTCTTATGTTCTTCTCGATGAGTGGCGTATTCGGCATTATGCCAGCGGCGACGCGGATTCTCTTTGGCCACGAGAACATGGCCACCAACTATGGCATGGTGTTTTCCGCTTTTGTAAGTTTTTGATGCGGTTCAGTAAACTGTCAGTACATTTTGGCTTTGTTGATATCCCGGGGGGACACGGCCACTAGAACCCGGAAAATAAGAGCGGATTTGAAACCTCCCTCGCCTTCTGCATAATTTTCCCTGTGAATCAGATCTCAAAATCGGACAGGGCACACTTGAACTCCAGCCGCGACAAAACACCTTTCACAGGAAAGTACAACAGCGGAGGGAAGTCGCATGCCTCAAGATTTTAGAAGGGAGTCGAACGTCCTGTGGCTCAAACCAATACCGCGTTTGCTGAGCCAGTCCTTTGTCTTGGAAATGTTATGAGTATGCAGTCAAGTACAGATTAAACGGTAAAACAAGGAACGAAATCGCTGACTTACATAATCATAAAGTTACTCCAGAAAATTCGGAAAAGTGCCCAACCTCCATCATCTGGGCTTAAAATCGTGCTTCTTGGCTATCTAAACATATAAGGACGGGATGAGTCAGTTGACCGCTATTTTTTATCGCGCAAAATTCGTGTGTCGGCTACTTGCGATGTAAAAGCGCAAAGAACTGTAACTGAAAATGTTCTATTAATTACCCTGTGTTACCGAAAACTATTCATATCCATACGGGGGCTCCATGGTGTTTTAAGGATTTAGCTTGGTAAAATATCCATTTAAACAGCTTTCCCTGCATCTAAGGAGGGTATTTGTACTACCGATTAAGCAAGAATTTCAAGTCCGTGTTAGTGCTTCCCTTACGATCATCTAGAAGTCATCAATATGACTTTGACTGTGAAAGCCTCAATGACAAATTAACAGCCAAAACCACAGGCAAGTGTGACAAGCGTTGGCTATGTGTTGATTTGAATAATCCCTGCAGAACGTGCTTTGGTAACTCCCTGATGGAACTTCTTGAAAACTGAAGTAAGTCTGAGCGGCCAGGTTCACCTCTCTTTGTTCTGTTCAGACGCAATTCTCAACAGTTTCTCTGCATCTGCGCAGTGCGGGAATTTGAACCCCCGGATCCACTGAAATCAAAGCTTTCGCATTTACTTCACGCATCCGTCAAAATGCCAGGCAGGTGGATATCTGGGCTTTCGTTTGGGGTCCATTACAGATATTAACTGGAGCGATTTTACAGTTAGAAGTTATGCCAGCATTCCAATAGCACATAAGTTGGTTTTTACTTTTTATATATTTGATGTTTCAGTCCGTAGGAAGCATTCTAAGTGCGCTGGCCAGCCAGTATGCGAAGGGCGCATGGACACAACTCTTCTACGCTTCAGGCGGCGTTTGCATTTTGGGTACGTCATTCAACGAAGGCCAGTATCGGCTAAAATAGGGTATTCATCCATATATATATTATACAGTTCTGTCTGATAGTATTCATATGTTCAACGCACTTTAATATTTACTGACTGTTTATAATTCTCATATGTGTATCAGAAGATCGAGTTTAGAAGCTTGGTAATTAGATTAGGTGTCATAAGTGTCTATGACATCCGCTGCTTACAGTCGCATTCCAGGATTCAGTGATGTAACCACAGTCCAGCATTTGTCTGAGTTACATTGTTCTTTGGTCGACTGTCGCGCGATCATGGTAACAGCAGAAAACATATCTCACGTTCGGTGCTAAATATTTTCCTCGTAACTGGCTCTTAGACGACTCTTTGAACTACCCAACTGACCACACAGTTTGTTATGCGCTTTCAGTGGACTGCGTTTTTGTTGTTAGTCTCATGAACAAAATCACTGCCTCGACGAAAAAAACGAACCTTGATGTAGCATTTCTGCTTCCTTTCAATACGGACCGATGTAGGCTGATTGGTGGACGGAAAACGATTTTGGCACATTTTTGCATTATTCGCAAGTGTTCTGAAAAAGAGCATTTATGAGAAGGAAGTTGCAACATTCCGGGAATAGGTCGAAAATCTTTCGGAAGTATCATTCAGCAATTTGACTCGATGACGGCGTATTTAGTCCTGCAGTTCGGCCAAATCAGCGAGCACGGTAGCTCATGATTTTGAACACTTTTGCTTATAATCAACAAAATGTCACCTCATGGCGTACTGGTACTGGCTGATACTTGTCAAATCTTATATTTTCACGCCCCAGAATAAAGGTTTGATTGGCCGGTAAAAGAAAATAAGCTGGAAATTCCATCAAAAGCTTCATCAACAATACAAAGTAATTTGTGAGAAACTCGACAGATGACAACGCAGGAACTATCCTACGTCGAAGGGTGCTTGAATATTACATAACTTTCCCAGCCCACGTTGTGTGTTTGTTCTACCTGAATGCAGACAATTTATGTGCACACGATTGTGTTGTGTAACCTAACTGGCCTTTAATTTGTTGGTGCTTGTGAAAGCTGTCGCTAGGCTTCTCTGAATGCTTCCTCGGCGTCCGTGTGCTGTTTAGCATGTATTCAATATGCTGAGACGTAATCGTTTACGAAGCTCTCCGAGTTGTTTTAGTTGGAGCTAAATCCTCTCTCTTCTGGCGAGGTGCCAACTTATTGAAAATGGCGGGTTGAAAACTGCTTTCTGTGCCACTGGAGACAACTGTCCCCTACCCAATACAACGTGCATACTACCCAAATAGATTTTTCCCTCTTTACACAATTAGAGATTCCACTATTCCTCTCTCGCAGGGTCCAACAGGTAAAAGATATGACTTCCGTATAACAGGTGGCCTTAAGACACGGTTGCAGTGGGGAGGGGGATGAACACGACCGTTTCTAACCAGATACTGTAGCTTATTCTGAATAAACCACTCACATAGTGCAAGCAGTATGCTATTCCTAAAGCCCGGGCTCAAAGTTAGGAGAGCTGAAGAATAAAGGTGAACCGTCTTTGTTATAAGCATATTCCGAATTGTCTTCTTCCAAGCACGCCTTTTCATAAGCTTCGAAGGGACAATTCGGTGTGTGAATTTCTTTTTTCCTAGTAGGATTTCAGTGAAGTTGCTGGCTTTTCGGAGACCGCTAAGACGTAAGCTTCTCTGAAAGGCAGTTTTTCCCTTAGTCCTACCGGTGTTTACTAGACGCTGGCCTGGAAGTCACTGGGAGAGGGAATTCCTCTACATCGACTGACAGGACGTCAAATCAAGTTTCATTTCTGATTTGAGGGTGCAAACCTGCCAAAATCAGGCTATTAGTGGTAAGATGGAGGGTATAAAATCGTCTTGCCATTAGCATGATATTCCTCGTGACGCTTCAAACTTTCCCTGTTTACATAACTTTTGCAGTGTTTCTCGGTCCAAGAGGGGGCTGGAAATTTCCAGCTCAAAAATATTTTGCTGCTAGCAGCGATACCAAGGTTTATTGGCGTAGTTTGTCAGCTTCTACTGCCTTTTAAGCCAAATGCCATTACTTTTTGTTTCAATTCATAGCTTTCCTTGTGGTTATCTGGATTTTCGACCCTCAAATGCCCCGTCGCTGCCGACCTTGTTGTTTCTGCGCCAGAACCGATCACCGTCGTTAGCGGTAGGCGGCCGAACATCCCCTACGCAACCTTTATTTGTGTGTCCTGCTATTTTACTCTCCCCCGTATAACCGCCCTTGAGGAAAGACTGTTCTCGGACATTCATTTAACCCCAAAAACCTCTCCCTGATAAGGAACATTTATGTTTGCGGTAGTTGGTGATGTCCACTAGAATTTGGTTAAATAAAACCGTTTTAAGTACTACCCATGAAGGCCTCTTCTCCGGTTAAAACCGTCTGCATTTAGGGTTGGAGTTGGAGCCCGCTAAGAACCATTGACCAGCCTTGCTTCATGAGTTTTGAACAAGTGGATCTTCACTACAAGTGAGAATGCCTCTACAAACCAGATGGCTTTGAGATATTTACACGTAAACTTCAATGCTCTGAGCTACAGAGTCAGGTTCAATGGAACATTTCCTGTAACGCAACGGAAGATGATTGTTTTCTAGGAGAGGTCTAGACGCAATTAATTAAAGCAGAATATTGTTCAGCTCCAGTGTCAGAGTCAATAATATATCGCTTCTCAGGGTTCCGTTAAGGCCTTAAAATTGCTCACCATAGGTTGCGAATCTGATCTGAAGGGAAGATGCCTCCAGAGAAGTCCCCTTACTGTAGGTGGCGTTCTGCACTAGAATACTTTTCAATTTACTTGCGTGATTCACATCCAAAAATGCTTTCTCCTTGAGTCTTTGGAATTTTCTCCGTTGGTTTTCTATGACGAAATGAGTTTACCCACAGTCATTATAGAAGTATAGCAAACTGTTTGTTTCGAAATTTATCTCCTGGGAAAGTAGTTCTACTGCAAATCTTATATCTATAGGAGAGTTATAGTTCGATGTTCAGAGAGTTAGGGGACTTTATGGAATCCCAGTAATGTTTTTGTAGTCCTCAGATTCGCCAGCGCAACCCGACAGTTCGACCGTCGATTTCGACGATGTCCACCGTGTTCCCCACAGACTGCATTGTGGGAGCAGGGACGGTGACTTACGCAGGGGTTTATAGTGCCAGTAGACTTGCGTAGCATCTACCTACACTCTCTACTCCTCCCCCGCCTGAGCCCGGTGTCAAGACCAAGTCAAGAAGACCGGAGACGGGGGAGGCCGCAGGTGGATGGCTCGGACGGATCCTCGCCTTGGCGCTCCACTCCGCAGCCCCTGGTCCACACACAAATGACCAGGATTTTGACCACAAAACAATGGGGTGGTGGCAGTGATCCAGTTGTGCGACGAATGCCGACAACAGCGTCCGCCAGCGCACCCCGCAGATGTTGGCATTTGTTATTGCGCACGGATAACGCCTGCCAGAGTCCGATGTGGCCCCCGTGTTGGTCCAGCGCATCTAACACGTGGGCCGTTTAGAGGGCACACAGATTGCGCAATATCACATATATAGGTTCCGAAACTAGTAGATATAAATAGTGTCTTCACTAAAAAGCAGGAAATCGAATAGCGAGACCAGAAACTTGCTTCGCATTGCTTTACAGGCTCACGCTTGAAACCAACGTTCTAGACAATAGCAGGTACGGATAGCCGGCGTATATGGGTTGCAATACTTAGAGGATGTTATTGCTATGCCTCCGCATACCTTTCAAGAATGGCGGTAAAGGCATCCATTACAGATGGTCGTATTCGGCGCGATTTTTGCTTGGTCGGAGTCGTTAAATACCGTAATCCCCTAATTAGAGTTGGCATGCAAATGGTGCCTCAATTTGGCTCACCTATACTCTCGCGGGATGCAGTGTTTACTCGCACGCTCCTGGCGGGCCTAAGTACTCCGGCCGGGCGAAGTCGGATGGCTTATTAGGATTGGGTTATGTCATTGCGCACGTTGACTAACTGCAAACCACAGAGCCATGACTCGGGCAGTCCTACACTCACGCATTTGTCATGTCGACCAATACTTTCGGCCTTCTCGAACTTAAGGGTCTTTTCGAGACTCATCTATTAAGCTAAAGCTGTATCATGTAGTCGTACAACATCTATAGATCGCAAGTTCCGAGTTTTGTTTGCGCAACCATGTTTGAGGTAGCAGCTTGTTTACAACTCCAGCTCCAAATTAGAAGCAACCAGATGACAATACCGCTATGCGGACATCCGCGAAATTCACCTAAGATATGCAAATGAGTGTTGTGCAGGACGTTTAAGCACAAATAGTAAATTCCCTTTATATTTTGGGGGAGATAGTTTTTTGTAGGGTGTCGAACTGAATAGACTCAGTGGCTGCACCCGCAGCCAAATCTCAGATGTATATCTCCGTTGGGACTAAATATTTCCAACCACTACCTACACGTGTTAGGACCGCAGCGCGTTGGTGAAGGTGCCGTTCGATATTCAACCGACAGGGATTTGCTGCTATCATCGGCTTATGGTGGACTGTGAATCCCAAAGTGGTTATTTTAAGGTCATTCATCTAGGTGAGCAGCACTTTTATACAGCAGTCGGCCTCAAGCTAGATGCTAAAAAAAGGTGTCTGAAAAGTGGTCATTTTTTCCACATTTTGATTTTGCAGCTGGATACAAAACATGAGACGAACTGCTCAAGCAACACACATAAACACACAAGCACACACAAGAGGATCGCATAATCTTGTTATACGATAATATAAGCTCGCGGGATTTTTCGCTTAACAAAATCTGTAAGCTCGCTTGAGTAAAAAGAAGCGCTCCTTCCAGTACGCCTCATAGTGCATATAAAGTGTTTTGTCTGTCTGCGTATTTGTAATTATTCACACAAACAATCCCCGAAATTGTTCGTGGTAGCGGACGCCGACGGCACGACTGTCTTAGCTAAAATCACGCATGCAGCCTGAGCAAATTGTTATGAATTTGCAGACGTGGTGAAGAGTTCTTTCAATTCCAAAATTAACCCTTCTTCAAGTTATGGAGTAAAAGCAATGGGTTTCTCCGGTAAACAGGCATGACAGTAAATAACATAACATTTTTATTGTGTATTGCTTTGCTTTATTTTGTTTTGCCACAGTTCAGTGGTTTAACAACTCGGCTGCATTAAAGCAACTGCTTCCATAGCGAATGGGTTAGTTCTAAGTTTCAGATGTGACATTGTGTTGAATTTGACTTGTACAAAAGGCAAATGCTTGATTTTCCGGTAGGATCCCTGTTGTTAGCCCTCCCGGTACTGAAATCGCCCGGCTCCCTATCTTACGGGACCGGTGGTAATGGGGGATATACGGGTGGGGCACTTGTGCGCAGGCGTCAATGACGTTTATAGTGTATGCCCAGAATTGATGCCCCTGCTAAAGTCGTAGCCAAAATTAAATATGGCGAAGAATGAAATAAAGATATAAAAACGAACGTGGATACTGAGTACGGTCTGCTGAATGAATGCATCCTAGCTCCAGATTGGGTTGGGCGTTCCTGATTTTCCGAAAATAATGATTTATTGCCACTAAGGTCATATGTATGTTAGAAACTGAAGCAGTAGTTGTGTGCTAGACGCGAATGTTGTAGTAAGCAATGTGTAGAGCAATTAGCCGGGGTGGCTACCAACAGGGGTCCTACCGATTTTCCAAACCCTGATCTGACTACTAAATTCTGAGCTTACCCACAGTATCTTTTAATGGAATCAAAAAAGTGCCCTTTTATTAGAATAACTTAAGTTTTACTGGCTACATATCCTCGCGCGTGTAAGTTGGTCAGTTATAAGCCAGCCGGAAGAGACAATTAAGTGGAGATTATTCTTCAGAAAAGCCTGATCCAGCGCACTTTATCCCTTTAGTGGATTCCTGTTCTTATAATCTAAATTAAAAACCTCCTATTCAGCTTATCTGAATATACTGGAGGTCAGATTTTATCGCAGACGTCCACCGAGTACACAGGAGACCAAAATGTCTAGGTCATCCGTGTCAATTAAACCTTTACAGTACTTATAGAGCCCGTAGGTCAAAGCTCCATCTGCTCAAAACATCATCAGGAGTAAAAGGTCTCATGTAAAACATGTGAATCGAAAAAGCCCCGTAATAAACGTGGTTGTGCGTTCCATTGCAGGGAGAGTATCTATTCAACTGCCCTAGGCCGAACACTAACCCCGACCCTATCACCGGCACTAACCTTAGCTCTCTGGAACGCGGCCCAAGGTCATCTTCATTACGGGGACTCCAATGCTCATGTTCTAGCATCATTTTATTTCCAGTACAAACTACTCAAATCTCAGTAAATAACAGGCAGAAAAATGAGCAATATGGATTATGTCCTACCTTGCAAACGTAGTTGCCCTCAAGAATTTTGAATTCTGCACTCTACTGCCAGGCCGTTTGGCCATGTGTAATGAAGCACTGTCCAAAAAAGCGTTACAGTCATTCAATTTTCTCTGTTTTTAATTATGCAGTCTGTAGCAAACGAAACATAGTAAGGTTTATTTGAAAGTGCGAGCCTGTTATGAGATGTCGGAAAAAAAGGTGATGTAACGAAAAGTAGAAAGCATCGTCATATTGAATAGCTCCTGATAAGCTGGACTATGTGATAATTGGGCCGGACATTCATTTGGAACAAACGTTAAAGTACAAGCATAGCTGATATGGATACTTTTAACGAGGATTTAATTAGGAGAGAAATTCCTCAAAGTCAGGAAGTCAGCGGTTAAAAATTTCCATGCGGTTACACGTATTTCTGACTGCAAACTTAATCGGCTGGACTGCATAAACCATTCAACCATCTGGGTCGTGTTGCTTGGTAAATCACGAGAGTTCGCTATCATGGGACACGTCTGCACTTCGGATAGTTATGCCAGCAAGGCAATCAGAACTAACTCTTTTGGCCCACAATAACTCCATTAACTAGAACCGCGTCGTGCTTGCGAGTTTTCTACTTACGAAAAGCGCTTGTCATACAAAATATATGGGGGATGTGTAATTTTGACGTTGGAGACCGAGGGCACGTAAGTCCCAAAAACAGCGCTGTCATCGAGGAAAGCTTACAGTGCGGTCGGGTGTCCTGCGATGAGGGCGATGCAGATTATGGCAGTTCAGTGGGTCACTAATAGACGG